CAGGCCATCCTTCCGCGAAGCCGCCGCCCAGTCCTACAAGGCGGAAACCCGCGCCGTCGACTTCCACGGAAAGGTCGGTGTGTGCAAATCTCTCTTCTTCCTTGCTCATGTTTTTAACACGCAGATTTGATTATTTCTAACCAATTACGCTGCAGCCAGGAGAAGCCGTGAAGCAGATCAACGCCTGGGCGGCGGCGGCGACGAACAACCTCATCGACTCGGTGCTCACCGAGCAGCAGGTGTCCACCGAGACGGACGTCGTCGTCGCCAACGCCGTCTACTTCAAGGCCACGTGGCGCTCCCCCTTCCGCGAGCACTACACCGAGGACGACAAGTTCTACCGTCTCGACGGCACCACCTTGGACGTCGCCTTCATGCAGAGCGGCAAGAAGCAGTACATTGCCTGCCACCAAGGCTTCAAGGTGCTCAAGCTCGACTACAGGCAAGGGCACGTGTGGTCTTCGCCGCCGGCGTCGTTCTCCATGTGCATCTTCCTCCCGGACGAGCGCGACGGGCTCCGGGGCTTGGTCCAGAGGATGGCGTCCAGCCCGAACTTCATGCGCGCGCACCTTCCGACGAGTCTCGTCTCGGTCGGCGACTTCAAGCTGCCCAGATTCAAGCTCACCTTTTCGGCCGACATGTCTGGCATTCTCAGTGGCGGAGACAGGGGGGACCAGCACGGGCCCTGGCCCCCCCTAATACCAGGATTTTGCATGTAATTTGGTATGAACAGAGGCAAAATTAGTACTAATTTGCTGCTAAATATCTATTTTTCAACACTTTGGCCCTCTCCAACCTGATTTAATAGCACTTGGCCCTCCTGATACAAAATTTCTCCGGCGGTTAGGACTCCGTATGGCGGAAGCCGACATGTCCAACATGGTGGAGGACGACGGCACCGGTAGGCCATTGGGTCTGAGCGGTATCGTCCACAAGGCTATCATCGAGGTGAACGAGGACGGTACCGAGGCGGCGGCCGTCACCGCCGGTATAATGTGCGGCTGCGGTCCTCCACCGAAAACACCGCCGGTTCTCGTGGATCTCGTCGCTGACCATCCCTTTGCCTTCTTTGTAATTGAGGAGGAGTCGGGTGCCGTCATCTTCGCTGGGAACGTCCTTGAACCCTCTCCGTCGATTCCTGGAGAGAATCTTCGTCGCCGTGAGTCCGTACATCGTGCTCCTAACTTCGTCGTCGGGAGGAGGCCCGAGCATCCATGGACTTTGGGTGCAATCCATGAGAAACAGCCGCTCGGGGTATACTCAAGGGGTATGGATGGCCGTCCATTTGTGCAGCATGAGGCTGCTTCATGTAATCGTATTCTTCTTTTCGCTTGTGTCTGCCTGGTTGTGGCATTTTTCTTTCAACTTGTACGTCTTTTGGTGATGTAAATCTGAATAGGCGAGGAGAATTAATGCATGCATTATATCGTGTATTGGCTCAAAAGAAATGCATTAAATCGTGTTTGGGCGTACATTCTGTCGGCTGAGGTATAGCTCTGCTTCACAGCTTGAACCAACACCAATTTGGGTTTACTGTTTGGGTCACAAACTCACAATAAAGTAGGGTATATCATAGAGGCTACCTAGATCTTGTTATTTACTTTGATGTGTTTTTAAAGGGTCCACCTGATTTGTGATCAAATACTCCATACATTCCTAAATATTTGTCTTTTTAGAGATTTCAAATGGACTACCATATACGGATGTATATAGACATAGACATATTTTAGAGTGTACATTCACTCATTTTATTTCGTATGTAGCCACTTGTTGAAATCTCTAGAAAAGACAAATATTTAGGAACGGAGGCAGTAATACTTACGTACTTTACCGCTTCTTTTGTTTTGTCTTAAGTCACACTTAGTAAAGTTTGACCAAGTTATGTTACAATGGGTTAGGATTCTCTGTTGTAGCGCACCGTGCAGTACGGTCGATGTCGTGTGGACCCGGCCCCATGCGTCATCCGCACTACAGCAGTGTACAATACTGCAGAGGATCTCAACCCTGTTACAATACACTATGAAAAAGTAAGGGTGTGTCTAGAGCACATCTAGATGTGCTCTAGTTAATTGTACATCTAGGTGAGTGAATCAAGCATAAAGAGAAAATGAAAAAAGAAAAAGAAAATATCTACATGAATCTCAATGTAAGATCAATGACATAGAACTATGTGCTTTAGCAAAACTGAAAAAATATTATATGATGGATTTCTTTTGACGTGTTCTATAACAGCTTGATTTTTTTATTTTTTTTGCGGGTAGTTCGATTTGTTGTTGTGAATGTTGATAAATTTTCTCGTCAAACTACACAAAAGTTAGACTTAAAACAAAACTAATTTGTGAAGTAAAAAGGATGGTTGTATTACTACCGTTAGAAAGACCCATCGATCAGTATCAGTTTACTCCCTTTTTTGTAAAGTACACTCCATGAGAGTAATTATGAAAACTAAAATTACTGATTAAATCAAAGAATTTCTCGTACCAGGCTGTCATATTTTGATTAAGTAGAACTGTTAAGTCACACGCGATGCAACTTCTATTTTGAACAGGAAATTCAACGTTTATTGTTTCACTCTCCAAGCACGGGTTGATTGGGGCGATGTCCATGCATTGTCTAAAATTGTTAAATCGCGTATTTTTAGACCTGGGCTAAGAGGTGAACATCACCAAGTTCGGTAATCTGGTTGAGGTTGCCATGGTTTTTTTTTTGCTCGTTTGGTTATACTCCATTTGTTTCAAAATATTTGAAGTTCTAAGTTTTTTTTGCGGGAAACTTTGTTGGTCAATTCATCTTTAATCATGGCAGTACAGCGAACACCAGAAATAATAAAAGTTACATTCAGACTCATAGACCATCTAGCGACGGCAACAAGCATTGAAGCGAGCCGAGGGCGAGCCGCCGTCATTGCCCCTCCCTCGCCGGAGCCGGGCACAACTTGTTGTAATAGACGATCGGAAAGTCGTCGTGCTAAGGTCCCATAGGACCAACGCCCCAGAACTGCAACCGCCGCCGATGAAGAGAAGTTTAGATCGAAAGGATCCAACCTGAAGACACATGAACAGAGACCGGATCAAAGCGGATCCACCAAAGACAACCACCGACCAAATCCCGCGAGATCAGTCGAAGACACACCTCCATACGCCCTCCGACGATGTTAGACACACCATTGGCACTGGGGCTAGGCGGGGAGGACCTTATTCAAGAAGCTGCCGTTGTCTCGTCTTCTTAAGCAGGATACAAACCCTAACAACATTTGAAGAAGCGCATGAAAACAGAGCCTTCCTGCCGGCAACGGCCAGGATCCACCGCGCACCCATGCCCTAAGGCCACAAGAGACGTGGGAGATCGGCGGCGCCGCCGACGGGAGGCAGAAACCCTAGCCGCCTCCCAATTGGCTGAAGTAAAGAAAAGAATACCTGACGTGCATCTAGTCCATTGCTCAAACGTGGCCTTTCACTCATCCGTGGTTTGTATAGCCAGCGTTTTTCTCTGTTTTGCTCTTATGTTTTTGGGTCGCCCTTATAATCTAATACTCCCTTTGTCCCAAATTATCATATTAAAAAAATGGGTATATCTCTAAGACAATTAATTTGAGATGGAGGTAACGTAAAAAAGATGTCCTGATAACACCAACGAGCCTGGTCTCGGTCGGCAACTTCAAGCTGCCCCGATTCAAGCTCGCCTTTTCGCCTGACGTGTTTGGTATTCTTCGACGGTTGTGACTCCGTCTGGCGGAAGCCGACATGTCCAGCATGATGGAGGACGACAGCACCGGCAAGCCGTTGGCTTTGAGCGGTAAGGCCGTCATCGAGGTGAACGAGGATGGTACCGAGTCGGCGGCCGTCACCGCCGGTATAATGTGCGGCTGCGCCGCACCACCAGAGACACCGCCGGTTCTTGTGGATTTCGTTGCTGACCATCTGTTTGCCTTCTTCGTAATTGAGGAGTCGGGCACCATCGTCTTCGCTAGAAACGTCCTTGAACCCTCTCCATCGATTCCCGGAGAGAACCTTTGTCGCCGTGACTCCGTACGTGCTCCTAACTTCGGCTGGGGGAGGGTTTAGCATCCATGGACGTTCAGTGCAATCAATGGGAAACAACAACACCCGGGGCATACTCAAGGGGGTCGGGCTCTCCTGGGAGCCCTGCGCGCACTATGCTGCTGGGCCAACCGATGGCCAACACCTGTCCTCGCAGGGCCCACCTTTCAGCAAACTAATTTTCGTTTTTCCTAGTTCACTGAAAATCCTCTCTTCCCCATCCCGATGTTGTCCCTTCTAGCCGCCATTATTCTATTGAGTTCGAGCTTCCGTGAGAAAGAACTCCCACGGTGAGGTCCACAGCCCTTGCTCGTGGCCGCTAGTAAGACCAAAGCTTTTGTGGCTAGTGCCGCCCGCCTCCATTGAGCCAAGCCCGGGCCAAGGCAGAAGCAGCTGCTAACATGCCGCCATGCCCCATTGAGCCGACCAACTCTGTAGGGTGTGCGGGCGCCGGGTGGCCAGGTGGGTGAAGCAGTACTGCTTCTGCGAGATGCCGCAGGAGGTCGTGCAGAGGTGAGTGGTAGTTCATTACTTCATCTACCCATGTACTCCCTCCGTCCGAAAAAGCTTGTCCCTAGAATGAATGTATCTAACACTAAGTTAGTGCTAGATACATCCATTTGAGGAACAAGTTTGAGACAAGCTTTTTCGGACGGAGGGAGTACTAGCTTGCCGGATAGAAACAGAGGACGGTAGCACATATGCACATATTCCGCCATTCTTGATTCTTGTTTGTTTTCAATCACTGATTGTAGTTAAGCTTGAGACAATCATCATAATGAAGTGCATCACACTCATGACACTCAGGCTGGAGGAGGAAGAACCCATGCTCCTCCCCCTCAGACTCCAGCCACACGGCCGTGCCAGGCCACCCGCTCCCCTTGATGGCATGCTAATACGCGGCCGCCCTTGCCCGCGTGAAGTCCCTCTCGGTCAAGCGGACAAGCAACTTCCAGCATGCTAGCGCGCGCAAGCTTGGCGCCCGAGGAGCCATCGGGTTAAAATTCGGATCGTACATCCCTTGTGCGCCTGGCACTGCGGACATATCAGGTTGGTCCAGAGCTTCGTGTCTACCGTCTCGCCGTCGACTGACTGTTTCCCTCCAAGCTGAGGGTGAACTAGGATCGCTCGCTCTACCAGCGCATCTTCGGGTAAACCGTACTGATCAGTGCCGGCCATGATTGCCATGTTATGAAATATGTTGGCGCTGCCACTGTCGCCGGCAGTAAGATGCGGTCGGCATCGCCGTGCTCCGACAGCCATGGGTCGCTGCGCGAGCCTCGATGCGTCCCGGCTGAGCGCCATCCAGGAATCCTCGTATGCGGCCGGGACGGGTGCTCCAGAACAAAGCGGTAATCGACTGACTCGGCCAGGACACCGGCCTTTGAGATGACGACGCGGCCGAGCCGAGGACAGGCTGCCGCCGAGATAAGGAAGAGAGAGAATTTTCGGTGATTTAGGAAAAACGAAATTTAGTTTGCTAAAGGTGGGGCCCTGCAAGGACAGGTGTTGGCCACCGGTTGGCCCTGCAGCATAGTGTGTGCAGGGCTCCCAGCGAGAGCCCGACCCTGAACACCCTACTTAAGGGGTATGGATGGCCGTCCATTTGGATTTTTTGTCGAAAAAGAACACCTGCACCAACGAATTGCCAAAAAAGACCACGTGCAGATGACATTGACAAAAAGGACTCCCTCGGGCATGGCGGCAGGCGCGGCAGGCGACACGTGACACCTGCCGCCACGCCAGGAGGCGGCGGGCCCTGCCGCCACGGTAGACGGCGGCTACCCAGGCAAAACGTCATTGGTGCAGCGCACCTTGCTGGGACGGAACGGGGCGGGCCAGGTGGCCCTGTCGCCACCGAGGGAGGCGGCCACTGCTAGCGCTGTCGCTACCTGGCCGATAGGCCGCACTGCTCGCGGGCCCTGCTAGTGGGGCTTGCCGCCACTAGCCAAGGCGGCCACCTCATGCATGCGGGACGGCCGGAGGCGCTGATTCCCATGCGGCACTGATTCCTATGTTGTTGCTACTGGCTGCACGCGCGACAGCTTTCCTGTTGCAGACGACGCTGATTCCTACGCGCACTGTGTTAAATTGTGATGATTCCCATGCGCACAGATGACGGTGTTTGCTTTGGCGGGAATTTGCGTCCTTTCTTTTCTTACACTACTGGAATCAACTTCTTTGCCGTCCGCCGTGGCGGACGGCAAAAGCACAGATCCCGAATAGTAAAGTCCTTTGCCGTCAGCGAGCGGACGGCAAACTGTCCGGCTGAACACCTGCCAGCAAAGGCCTTCTTTGTAATCCGCTTCGAAGAAACGGACGGCAAAGGATTATGCCGTCCGCCATCCAAGGCCAGCAGACGGCAACAACGACGGATGGCAGCGGTGTGGGGTGAGAGCCGTTAGGGGGTTAACGGCGCTCTTTGCCGTCCGCTGACAGACGGCAAAGAGCTTAGCTAGGGCAGCACTGGGAAGCTGCCACGTGGCCAGCTATGTCGTCTGCCAGCAGACGGCATAGATGGCCCTGTTTGCCAGACCTATTTGGTCACTTTGTCGTCCGCTTGCAGATGGCAAAATGACCAAATAGGCAGCCAGTGTTGTCAGTTTGCACAGGTGACTGCCACGTGTCCTCTTTGCCGTCTGCTAGCGGGCGGCAAAGAGCTTTGCCGTCCGCTAGTAGACGGCAAAAAGGCTACACATCCCCTGTTTTTATTTAAATCCAATTAATTAGACACGGTTTCAAACACAGATATACATGCATACATATCCAACAGCATGTCCAACAACATATTTGATCAAATCCAACAACATAGTTCAACAAAGTCCAGCATATCCATATATACATAACCACAAACAAGTTTCCGACAACATATCCATATAGACATACATATCCAAACAAGTTTTCATAAACAACAAGGAAGCACCAGAAGAATAGTGCACTCCATGAATCCAAGCCTTCCTCATGTAAAGCAAATCTGCAAATTGGGAAAGATGAAAGTTAGAAGAAGAAGAACAAGAAGAAGAAGAAGAAGAAGAAGACTAGTTAGAAGAATAAGACTAGTTAGAAGAAGATTTTTTCTTCTCTTTCTTTTTCTCCTCCCCTCTTCTTTAATTATCTTCTTCTTCTTCTAACTAAGGTAAGTAAAAATGCCATTTTATTGCTAAGCTAGGTAAAAATGCTAAGTGTAGGTCATTTTAGAGCTAAGCTAGGTAAATAGGTTATTTTGGAGCTTAGTAAGGTTATTATGTCATTTTCGAGGAAAATAAGCTAAGTCTATATCATTTTGGACGTAGCAAAGATTATCATGCCATTTTTGACCTAAGTATGCTAAGTATGTCATAAATGAACTGAATAAGCTAAGTATAGCTCATTTTTTTATATAACTTAGGTAATTATGCCATTTAGGAGGAAAATAAGCTAAGTATCCATTTGTAAAGAAAAACATTAGAGAAAACTTACCCTCGTCACAACAAATATGGTGATGATCGCAACTAAGGTAACAATTGATCCAACGGCATAATGATACCAAGCCTCATTATCAATGGCATATTTTCTAATCTTCTTAAGCTTCAGGCGCATTGCATCCATCTTCAAGCGCATTGCATTCATCTTCATCTTGTGATCATCGATAACATCGACAACATACAACTCCAATGTCATCTTCTCTTCTTCAATTCTTTTAATTTTTTCTTTTAAATACTCATTTTCTTTTTCAACTAAATTTAACTTCTCGACAAGAGGGTCAGTTTCAAATTCCGGTTCACATACCTCCTAGATTAAAATATCTCTATGTCAACTTGATGGTCATAATTGTCATAAATATGAAATGCAACAAATAGTTATGAAAGAGAATTTACCACATCCGAATCATAAAGCGGGCGAGGGCCGACGGGGACGGACATCAAGACCATGGCACTATGTATAAGAAACAATCATACAAAGTAAGAAATTATACATACCAACTATATAAATCATACAAAGTACAACATAAAAATTTGAATACCTAATAATCACTATCGGTAATGACGTGCTCATCATCATCATTAATAAATACATCATCATCATCAGTATCGGTAATGACATGCTCATCATCATCATTAATAAATGCATCATCATGTGGAAGGCCACCTTTACGTAATCGTTCAAGCATTGACAAGTCATCTGCAGCAGTAACTTCTTCTTCTTCCGGCTCTTCTTGTTCCGACTCAGGGTCAGATTCACTATCGTTGTCTACTTCAATGTTTTGGGGTGGAGTAGAGCATTTCTTGAAATGTTTTTTGGCAAGACTTGTTTCTTGGAAGAATTGTCCTTCGTCATATGTGTCTTGGTTAATGTGACGTTCATAATCCTCTTCATTGGGGGGAGGTGGTCTAACACGTGGCGGCACTTCATAAACGACATCCCAACCACTGAGATTTGGATCACTTTGACAGGCCCACGGTAGATAGAAAACTTGGGTTACCTGTTGAGCCGTAATATAGACATCGGGAACATCCAAATGGGTGCTTTGTTTGATTTCGACTAGCCCTATATGTTCATGAGTCCTTCTAGTCTTCCTGGGCTAGAACCAATAACATCTGAAGACTACGACGTTTGGTGGGTTTTCACCATAGAATTGAAGTTCATAAATTGCTTCAACTCTTCCATAATACTCGACACCTCCTTCGCCGATAGCAGAGACACAACAATTTGTAGACTTTCGGTCGGCCATAGATAGATCTTTGCCATAGGTACGAAAGCGATACCCGTTGATGTCGTAATTGTCAAATGAACGGACCTTATAGTCAAAACCATTAGCTACTTGTCTCAATTCGGCATCCATAATCTCTGAATTAGCCTACAAGTTTAATACAAAAGGATTGTTGCATTACTCGCAAATTAGCCAAAGAAATGAAAGGGTCTAATGGAAATTACCTTTTTTTGAACCAAGAGATGAAACTGGGATATTCGCCTCCTTGCTTTGCCAGAAGCTCATACTCTTCGATGGAATCCTTTTGGATCACCGCTCCATACGAGAATATGGCAACGTATCGACTGCATCAAATATCCAGGAATAAGAGCAGTTCAAAGAAATTAGAAGTTGCGAAACAATGTAACGAGATCTTACTCGATGTACGGCCGCACTTCTGTTAGGTTGTTAAAGAGATACAGCGAAATGGTCCGCCATTCTTCAACATCCAACGATACTAGTTTCCAAGCTCTGGATGGTGCGAGATTCCCTTTGAATAGGCTGAGGTTGGATTGACCCTTTTTAGGCTCGTCAGCATTGTACCGAGGCTTTGGATTATGCAAATGATGATTTTTGGCTTCGTAGTGTGCTGCCACGAAGTTTGACGCCTCCTTAGTGATGAATACCTTGGCCATCGATGCTTCTATTCTATGTTTAGTTTTACATTTTTCTCAAAGCGTCTTCTGCATCCTCTCAGTTGAGTAGCACCAATGATTTTGCACGCCCCCCCCCCCAATCGTGCCCCGGTCGGGAGATGCAAAATCAAGTGTTGCATTGGATTAAAGAAGCTTGGCAAAAATATCATCTCTAACTTGCAGATCAACTTCGGCGCCAACTGTTCCATTTCTTCTAGGAGGCCAGGCGATAGTTCTTTCACACAAAGAACACGGAAGAAATAACTCAGCTCTGCCAGTACTAGCCATTCATCCTCAGGGATGAAGCCACACAACATCACCGGCATTATCCTCTCTATCCATATGTGCCAATCATGACTTTTTAGACCAAATATTTTCAATTTATCAAGACTCACTCCCCTCTTTAGATTTGCTGCATACCCATCAGGGAACATCAACTGCATTTTCACCCACAAAATAATTTCCTCCATAGTTGGCCTTCCAAGATTGAACCACGCCTTTGGCTTCTTCCAGTTCCGCTTTCCTTTCGGTTCTTGCATGTTTTGTAACGGTCTATCACAGAGCTCCTCTTGATCGTCTCTGGCCTTAGTATTATCCTTTGATTTCCCCTCTATGCCAAAGAATGTACCAAAAATGGCTTCGGTGATATTCTTTTCAGTGTGCATCACGTCGATGTTGTGTGGGCAAAGGAGGTCTTTGAAGTAAGGCAGATCCCAAAAGCATGTGTTGTGAGTCCAGGCGTGTTCCTTATTATACCCCTTGAAATACCTTGGACGCTCTGGATCTGGCTCGAGAGCGTGTAACTGATCTAGGTTTTGTTGGTCTGTCAACGCAGGTGGTGCAGAGTGTTTGACAACTCGACCTTTCATGAAGTTCTTCTTGTCTTTCCTGAACTTATGGCAAGGATCTAGAAACTGTCTATGCAAGTCGAAGCAACTATA